AATTAAATGTACAATCACAACTACAATAAAACTTCATACAAGACGGCCACCACTAGCCTAATTTGCAAGGCCACGTAATTAAACTAAAACTGTAAATGCGACTAAATAAATAAAAATGACCAAAAACATTGTTGTTTAATTAATGATTTATGTTATTGTATCATTATAAAAAAATTCAAGTTTGAATGATGCATGTTATTGAAAAAAAAAGAAGAAGAAGCAAAGGTATGATTTATCCTCTTGCAATATGTTTCGTTGCGCACGATTAGATTGTTGGGTAGCTCTTTGAATAAGTTTTTAATTGTAAACATTGATGTACATAAAAAAATCAATTTGTTGTTTAAAAAGAAAAGCATAGATTTATAATAATTAAACAAAATAGAAAAGTAGAGCACATAGAAATGAGGGTCACATGATTATGGAGAGAAAGATAAGGCACCCTTAAGAGTTTGGTCGGTTAGGGGAAAACTGATGATTACTTCCAACGGTTTTGGTCAAATGGACTTTAAAGAACATTGAACACAGAACTAGTACATAGTATCACATGTGCTTTGTGGATTTTTTCAACGTCCTGTCTCGAATTTATATCAACTCATTGTAGTTTGTTTTCTCAATATACATGTTGATATTTACCAAATAAATGACATTTTCCTCATTTAGGTACTAATCTGATAAAGATTGATAGATTACGTTGCTTGAAATTTTGAAATTAGTTGGTAAACACACGTACATAGAGTTTTTGAAACCATTCATATACAGTCGTTTTCTAATAAGATATATGCGATAAAAACATTTTAATATTTTTCATACTTAATATCGTTTAGTCTCAGACTCGGTTTTGTATAAAACTAAAACATGAATTAATTCAGTAAAACAAGATAAAATTGAGATCAGAAAGCACATGGGAGACGCAGATTCTCATAGACAAACAAGATCAAATGAATGCATATTTGCTGATTCACCTTCGTGTATGGTAACATGCTCGAATCATTACGGTCAAACTTCATATAATTTCCAACTTTACCTTATTTTATTTTTTTCGTTATCGTTAAAATATAAATTAAACATTGGACTAATAATAACTAATCATCTAATTAGTGTATGGCATATTAGTGTCGAAATACCTATGCTTTTCAATTTTGGGCCGTTGAAGCGAAAAAGCCCATTAAGAAATTATATGGGTCTATGACGTTATCGGTTTACTTTCTTATAAGTTATAACACTAAATGGGCTTATATTTTAATTTTAAGATAGCGAAGGACCCGTTTGGTATTGTTATTCTAAACAGCGTTTTAATCCGAGTTTCGATTATTCAGATTTTCAAGGATCGTAATTCTGTTGAATTTGAGTTTGGCTTTAATACTAAAATCTTTAGTTGTTATAACCGACTATACAAGCTTTAATTTGGAACTCAAAACCAAAAAGAAAAAACAGTTTCAAATTTAACTTGGTCTATCTGTCTTACTTTCCGACTAAACCTGATTTTACGTAATATGAAAAGTCGTTAATGCATTTGTGAGACGTCGCAAATATTTATTTTTTCTTTATGTGTCAAATAAATTATAACTGGAAAACATGACAGATATTGAGTATTATTAGAATTGTAATTAAATAGTTTATGTGAAGGAACAGATCACTAGGAGCTGTGAGTAACAGAATTCAAGTGGGTTTCCTTTGCTTGCGGAAGTAAATGAAGTATAGATTACGCAAATAAATAAGTAATAAGAATTTCAGTATTACAGAATGGTCCACTATATAAATAACGTGTACGATCCAATCATCAATCTCTGTATTAAAATTATTTTCTTCTAAAAAAATATTATCAATTTCCCAAATTGTTTCCTCTATCTATAAACAAAATCCAACAACAAATAAACATTTCTTTTTTTTTTTTAAATAAAAATAATAATAATGCAATTGCAACTGCGCAAGTCCACTCCAATCATTTTCATTACAGACTCAGTCAAGCCGAAGCAACTGGTAACAAACGACCGTTAATCTTCGCCGTCCACTAACCCATCTATCCGCTCCAACGTTGACTTTTCCTCCAAACCTAGTCAACGTTTAAGATATCGTCACCGTGACTTGATCGGCCGGTAAATTCAAGTCAAATCCACGGTGGCCGATTGCGCTTTGTTCCGACGATCTCTCATCATCCACATCGCTGACGTCACTGCCAGCAACGACTTCTACACTGTTGCTGCTGCTT